GTCAGAATGTAGAAATAAAAGGCTGCTAATGCGGAGTGAGCTAATGAATGCAGCACCACCTGTTCAGAGAGAGAGAGATTGAGAGAGAGAGTCGTCAGAAAGGAACAAGGACATTTAAACTGTTGCTTGTTTGGAAGCAAAAGGGTCCTGAGAACTTTTTTTTTTGTTTGTTTTAAAAGAGCACAATCTCTGTAAATACTGTTTTAACCAAAAACCACAACAGTAGCTGTTATTTCAAAGTAAGAGCTTAGAAGATGGGTTCCGGTTCACTGGGATTTCTCAATTCAAACATGGACAAATGAACAAAAATGTCTTCCTGCACTGCAAAAATGCAACAACAAAAAAACCGTATCAAGTCATTTCTGTCTAGTTTCTAGTGCAAATATCTTAGTGCATTTAAAATAAGACAAAATAAACATACAAGTTAAACTTTTCAGTATGAAATAGAAGCTTGATTGAAGAGAATAATTCCTTAAAATTTATGATCAAACGCCTATTGGATTATATCACTTATTACAAGACATGTTTCCCCTGTTAAAGGGAAATAATCTGCCAGTGTAAAAGTAATATTAATGTACTTTTACATTAATATGAAGGACCTATTTTGTTGACTTAAAACCAGTTTCTATTTCTTGCTAAAAAGTTACTTCTAAGTTGATTTTGTCTTATTTCAAGTATTCTAAGGTATTTAAACTGGAAACTAAACCAAAATGACTTAAGATGTTGTGTTTTTGCAGTGTAAGTGTTAAGTGTAAGTAATATTCGGGAAACTTTTTGTCGTCTTTGTCTTTGGTTCTGATCCTTGTGAACGAGAGTTATTTTCAGAATCGGCATTCTTCTGTTCAGCTCATTTCTTTTCATAATGTCAAACAGAAACATAGCCAGTGTTCACTGAGCATTAAAAAAAAAAAAAAAAGGAAAAAAGAAGCCATGACTGGATTTTTACTCAGTTTACAACAAAACAGTCTTCTGGTCCAAACACAACGAACAGACCAGAGGAGAAACAGCAGGAAACACAATGAGAGTCAGGAAATGGCTTTGACTGATTGAAATATTTGTAAAATCAACAGTTTGAAGAAGAAGACGAGGTGAAAGCCATGGCTGTCCCTGTGAATAAAAAGTGGGATCAACACATCCGGAAAGCGTCAACTTCAACGATTTCAGCTCAATTTGGTGACTGTCTGTCTGTGTGTGTGTGTGTGGGTGTGTGTGTGTGTGTGTGTATCCCATTATGAGTGTGTGTGAGACAGAAAGTTTGATCCTGAAGCGACTTATTGATCAGAAATGTTGGAGCCGTGGTCACAGAGCTCCCCAGATCTTTGCTTTGTTTATTCAGCTAAAATTTCACTATGTTCTCTTGCCATTGTTTCTTTTCTTTTTTTTTCATAAAACAAAAAACAAAAACATTCCCAGATCTTTACGTGATGAAAGTGCATGAAAACCGACGGGGTGCAGCGTCGGTCCATGTTTTGACATCAGACGTCCCGGCAGGACGCCGGTCCACTGTGGAAATGCCAAACAGTGTTGAAGTGGAACGCCTGTGACGTCCTTTATGTTTTGACGGTTCACGTCCACAAGTCTGAGGCTTGTTGTCGTTTGGCTTTTGCATCGACAGTGTATCCAGTCCAGCTTTTAGACTGCGGTTGCATTTTGGCTGAGTGACTGAAGCAGCCTTATGAAAATATCTCAAAGCCATATATCTATAATCATCCCATCGATCAGAGCCAAACTGGGATCACGGTGATCCAATACGGGCTGTGGAGACAGAATGCAGCTTCTTTCTGCCCCGTTTTCCATCTGCCCCGCCATATTTCCCTCCCACCGCCAAAACTCAGCAGAGAACCATACGCTTCGTTTTCTGTCTGTAGGTTAAAAATAATAATGTTTGTGGTACGTATGTAAATAAGAGATCATCTTCTTTTTTTAAGTCGTCCTGAACATTTCTGTTTCAGTCATACCGTTAAGCTTCAAAATCCTCCTAGCCTAAGCACATTGCAAAACAACGCAAACGGCTGGAGCGGGTTTCTATTTTTGTCAGTAACACTGGGTTACAAAAACCTGCTTTTTGGAAGTTATGTTTTTTACGACTGATTCAGGGCTATTTTTCTGAATTCAAAAACAGCATCCATTTTCCTCCATCAGGTCAGGTCTTTATTCTAATTTGATTTAGAGAAATTTGATCTCTAAGTCTCTAAGTCTACTTTTCCTCCTTTATTTTTTTTTAATAAGAAGACATATCACAAATGCAACTCACCTGCAACATTTAAAACAAAGACAAACACATCAGCAGCCATTTACATTAAATTAAAGTTTGAATACATATTATGAGAATGTAAGACTTTCAACTTATAAAAAAGAAACAAACAATGGCAAGAAGCTATTTATATTTCTGTAAAGAGGAGGAATAGATCCAACCTTTCAATTTTTGTTTGTTTTTCTGTTCTTTTTGTTCCTTAGCATTTGTTTTAAAAAGGACATAATAGAAATGCGACATTAACATAAAACCTGCAACATTCAAAAGAAAGACAAACACAATCAACAACTATTTACATCACATTACAAATTTGAATACATACAATGATGATTTATAACAGAAACAAACACAAGGAGCTATTTATATTTCAGTGAAGAGGCTGAATCCCATGTCAAATAAAAAAAACTGTCCTTTCCTTTTATCTTTTTGTTTGTTTTTGAACATTTTAAAAAAAATAAAAGTGCAATAAAAATGAAACATTGACTTAGAACTTGCAATATTTAAAACAAAATGACACTGTATGGTGTGTTTCAAGCCACTTAATGTATCTGAAGGGAGTGAATGTGTCTATGGCCCCTCTTGCACTGCACAGGCCTCCACTTGGGGCAGGACATCCCCCTTGACCCAGAGAAGGCACTCTACCCTTTTCTGGCTCAAGACCATGGCCTCGGACTTGGAGGCACTGACTGGAAATGCTAACGCAAAAACGAGCAGTCCTGCTTTTAGGTCAGACGGGTTGAACCCGGACAGGGTCCAACCCGGTCCGACCTGGATCCCATCGGTCCAACCCGGTCCGGTCCAACCCGGTCCGACCTGTCTGACTTAAAAGCAGGACTGATCGTTTTTGCGTTAGCATTTCTAGTCAGTGCCTCCAAGTTGGACCCGGTCCGGGTCGGTCCGGGTCCAACCCGTCTGACCTAAAAGCAGGACTGATCGTTTTTGCGTTAGCATTTCTAGTCAGTGCCTCCAAGTCCGAGGCCATGGTCTTGAGCCAGAAAAGGATAGAGTGCCTTCTCTGGGTTGAGGGGGATGTCCTGCCCCAAGTGGAGTAGTTTAAGTATCTCGGGATCTCGTTCACGGATGAGGGAAGAAGGGAGCGGGAGATCGACAGGCGGATTGGTGCAGCATCTGCTGTGGTGAAGAGAGAGCTGAGTCAAAAAGCGAAGCTCTCGATTTACCGGTCGATCTACATTCCTACCCTCATCGATGGTCATGACCGAAAGAACGAGATCTCGGATACAGGCGGCCGAAATGGGGTTCCTCCGTAGGGTGGCCGGGTTCTCCCTTAGAGATAGGGTGAGAAGCTCGGTCATCTGGGAGGGACTCAGTATAGCCGCTGCTCCTCCACATTGAGAGGAGCCAGTTGAGGTGGCTCGGGCATCTGGTCAGGAGCCTCCTGGTCGTCTACCTGGTGAGGTGTTTCGGGCACGTTCCACCGGGAGGAGGCCCCGGGGAAGACCCAGGACATGCTGGAGGGAATATGTCTCCCGGCTGGCCTGGGAACGCCTTGGGGTTCCCCCGGAGGAGCTGGAAGAAGTGGCTGGGTAGAGGGAAGTCTGGGCCTCCCTTCTTAAGCTGCTACCCCCGCAACCCGATCCCAGAAAAGCGGCAGACGATGGATAGATGGATGGCATTTCCAGCCCGGTCCCATCCAGCACCCTGGAGCTGCAGTTCCAATCGGGCTGGCCAGACCAGGCTGGATTGGAGTTAGATATTGATTGGTTCATTGGCTGCGGGGGCAGGACAAAGACCAGATCTCTGGGTCAGAGCAGCACTCAACTTTCTCAATGTCTGTCATTTCAATGTGCTGCATTAATAAATTCCTGTCATTATCTATTCTCACTCCACACTGGGATTACAGTCGCCTCTTCAGCCAAAGATTTTAATGGTAAATGTGATTAACATTTCTCCAACTGAGCAGATCATAAGTTGTAAAGACTGAACGAGGGATTTCTGCATCTGGTGTTGCTCCAACGGGGAAATCCCACCAGCCGCAGCGGTAGTTCAGCTGGCCGCAAGTCCAGCTCAGAGACGACATTCAGATGAGATTTTGTTTAATTTTTTTTGTTAAATGCGAAGCTGAGGTAAATGTTTCCTTTAGCTTCCTCGCTCATAATCGCATTCGGAAAGACCAGGATGGGAGAACCAAGAAAAAAACTGCTGCGGTCGTTGGGGAGATCGCCTCGGTAGATTTAACAGAAACTCAATTTACGTCACATAAATCGAATCGTCACGTAAATCGGTCATTTTGCAACGACAAGGTCTATAGGACCAGGTCGAATGGAGCCGGGCTGGGTCAGGCCAGGCCGAACCCTGCAGTGGACAAAGGGCTTATCTCAAAGGACTCATTCACACTCTGCTGATGGCAAGCTACTGCATTGTAGCTACAGGCTGACAGAAGTGAGGCTGCAAATGTTTGCACCGTCTGCCCTTCTGAACAACACCAGCAGGCAAAATGGGTGAATTGGGAAAACAAACAGTAATTGGTGGACAGACTGGGAATCAACCGCTGTCGCAGTGGTTCCCAACCTTAGTCCTCAAGTACCCAGCCATAGTCCTCAAGAACTCAGGCCCTACATGATTTAAGTGTCTCCTTCCTACCAAACTCCTGATTGACAGACTTCTGCAGTATTTGGTGGCTGCAGAGGAGGTCATGCAATCATTTGAATCAGGTGTGGTGAAATAAGTTATTTTTACATGAATCAAAATACTAATAATCTAACAAAAAGGGGCCATTCACTTTACTTTAATGACGTTGAACACTGATGTGATGGCGTTTCTCTTTCTTCCAGGTTCTATATTTTGCTTCCTTCTGTAAAGCCTCTACAATCTCGTAGTTCTCTGCCTCGATTCTAAGGGCTTTTTCCTTTTCCAGCATGAGGGTGAGTTCCTGGACATCTTTGAGTAGAGATCTCTGTTTCTTGTCCTCTCCCTGAAGCTTCTTGGTCAGGAGTTTGGTCTCATCTGAGAGTGTCGCTGTTATCTTACAGGCTTTCTCTAAACCTTGGTAAAGTTGATCACGTACCTTTTCCAACTCCAGCTTAGCTCTTTCTGCCTCTTGTCTTAGAGCTCTTTCTTTCTGCAGTTTTTTGTTTGTTTCCTGCCGAATATACTCTATAGTTTTCAAGAGAGAAGCATTTTCAGTCTCTCCTCGGATCCTAAGTCTTTTCTCCTCTTGGAGCATTTTCTCCAGCTGTTGGAGTTCCAGTTCAAATTTGTCCCGATCATCCAAAGTGATCTCAGCTTGACCCTCTCTGGACGTTTTCTCCACGTCCTGAAGCTTCTTCATCAGTTGCTCTGTAATCTCCACAGCTTCCTGTTTGTCCGCCTCAATTTGGGCTCTCAGTTCTTGCTCAGTTTTCAGTTTTTGGTCCAATATTTTTATGCAGTTTTCTGCCTGGACCCTCAGTGCTTTTTGTTCTTCGATGGTTTTCTCCACGTCCTGAAGCTTCTTCATCAATTGTTCTTTGATCTCCACAGTCGCCTGTTTGTCCGCCTCAATTTGGGCTCTCCGTTCTTGTTCTGTTTTCAGTTTTTGGTCCAATATGTTTATGCAATTCTCTGCCTGGACCCTCAATGCTTTTTCTTCTTCGATGGTTTTCTCCACGTCCTGAAGCTTCTTCATCAATTGTTCTTTAATCTCCACAGTCGCCTGTTTGTCCGCCTCAATTTGGGCTCTCCGTTCTTGTTCTGTTTTCAGTTTTGGTCCAATCTCTTTATGAAATTTTCTGCCTGGACCCTCAATGCTTTTTGTTCTTCGATGGTTTTCTCCATGTCGTGAAGCTTCTTAATCAATTGTTCTTTTATCTCCACAACGTCCTGTTTGTCCGCCTCAATTTGGGCTCTCCGTTCTTGCTCCGTTTTCAGTTTTTGGTCCAATATTTTTGCAATTCTCTGCCTGGACCCTCAGTGCTTTTTCTTTTTGGATGGTTTTCTCCATGTCCTGAAGCTTCTTAATCAATTGTTCTTTAATCTCCACAGCTTCCTGATTTTCCGCCTCAATTTGGGCTCTCCGTTCTTGCTCCGTTTTCAGTTCTTGGTCCAATACTTCTATGAAATTCTCTGCCTGGACCCTCAGTGTTTTTTCTTCTTGGATGGTTTTCTCCAGCTTTTGGCGTTCCAGTTCAAATTTGTCCCGATCATCAACAGTGATCTCAGCTGGAGCCTCCTTGGACGTTTTCTCCACGTCCTCAAGCTTTTTAATCAGTTGTTCTGCAATCTCTATTGCTTCCTCTTTGTCCGCCTCAGTTTGGGCCCTAAGTTCTCGTTCTGTTTTCAGTTCTTGCTCCATCATGTCAAAGAAAGCCTCAGTACATTTAAATTGATCCAGATTTTCATTTTCAGCCTCAATCCTCAGCTTTCTCTCTCTCTGGAGCATTTCTTGAAGCTGTTGGACATCAAGATAAGGAATGTCCTCATCTCGAACTTTGATTTCTGTTGAAGTTTCAGTCGAGACTTTGTTCAATCCTTCACAGTGGCAACAGAATTTCAGGGGAATCTTGATGGCTTCCCTTTTCGCTGAATCACTTTTTGCATCAAGATTATTTTCACTCTTCAGCTTTTCCTGGAGCTTCTTCACCTCTTTCTGAGCCACAGCGATATCAATTTCAAACTCAATGGTGAGCATCTCAATTTCCTGATGGTGTCTCTTTTCCATCTCCTTCATTTCTTGTTGGAGTTGCTGCATTGTGGGGCAGCATGTCTCATCTCTGACTGCCAGGCCTTGGTCCTTGGATTCAGCTTTCTCCAGCTTCTCCTTAAGCTCCTGAATTTCCAGAAGCAAGGCCTGCTTCTCCTCCCTCTCTTCTGAGAGAAGGTCTTCATAGTAGCGTTCTGTGTTGAACTTCTCCATCGTAATGGCCTCAACATCTTGATGAAGCTCCTTGATCTCCTGCTGAAAGATGTCAAAGAGCTCATTGTTGAGATGATAGATCATTGGTTTCGGCATTCTGGTTTACTCAAAAAGGTTTTGCTCAAAACAATGTTTTCCTCACAATTCGCACAATTCTCACAATTCTCACAATTCTCACAATCCTCACAATCCTCACAATCCTCACAAGCCGCACAATGAAAAGTGGGTGAAGATCTATGGAACTCTGTCTCTTTATATGGTACAATTCTTGTGTCTGATGCATGAAAAAGCCTGTGATGTCATCAGTGAAATTACCATGGCGATAATTCTCACCATCTTATTGGCTGAATTTGTTACAATACAAAAATATTATTAATCATGGAGCATTGGAGCACATACTGCTACAGTTCAGAGTTGATTGAGCAATTCTGTCTAATTGATGACATTATCAATTCATTTCCATTAATATTGCTCATCTCCAAAAATGTTTCAGGAGAAAAGAAAACGGATTTCTAGCAGAGTGTATGAATTAAATGTTAAAACTTGGATTTCTGTAAATTGAATAATAAACACTGATAAGGGTCAGTCCATGTGAATTGAACATTGTTTTTTTGCTCTGTCCTGATGGAGTCTCCCTCTCCTCCTGCACTCATTGATCCAGATTGTCAGGAAACTGATCCACATGTGAGAACAAGTCATGAATTTTGATGTTCATGTTGCTCCATAGTTCAGAAAGTCGACCTGATGGAGAAAAAACAATGTGGGTTTTGGATTCAGCTCATCAACATGAACCTAAAGCAGTTGGAAAACCTGATAGTTTTTCGTTTGTTGACCAGTGTAACTGGACCATATAATTGCGCAAATTTGACATTCCTAAAATGAATTTGATCAATGGAAATAGGCCAATTTCTAAATAAACTCAGTTTTTGATCAAAAGTTTTGCCGCTAAGACAATGTTTTTTTTTTTCCGGTCTGAATAGAAATCGTTTTGTTTTCTTTTGCAACACTTCAACAGAAACAATGTTTTTCATGTCACACGATCAGCAACCGGACATTGCCACTGGCGTTCCTCCAACTACTACAGGAAATAGCTGGACAATGTTTTTTAATGACCTACTGCGTGAACAAACGTATTCACATGTAATTTTACAAAAATCCAATAATTGCTTCCATTTTAGTTGGTTGAAGTTCGGCGGGAGGAACTTCAACCAACCTTACAAAGTTTGTTAAGGTGATTAATCTGATTAAATTTTCAAGCGATTGACAGCATAATTATTGACTCTTTCTTTTCAGTTCCCAGAAGCAGGTTGATCAGCAGATTCATCTATAGGATGCAGAATCTGCTATTTTCATCTCAACAACTTTTTTTATCATTACTGCCACCTTGTAGTTGAAGGAATGCATAACACCAAAGCGACATTAAACGTAAGACTCAATGATCAGGGAGAAAGATCATTACATTTCCCTAACATATAATAGAAATAAAAGAGTCGAATACAGTCTGAAGATACAAAACAAAAAGAATAGGACACAGGAAGCTAAAGTCTGTCATAATATTTTAAAGTCTTCTTCTATCCTACTATCACTCTGTCTCTCCTTCCCTCCCTCCCTCATATCTTCCCTTTTCTCTGGGAGCCGGCTGTCAGGTGGAGGGCAGGGCGCTGTCTGCTTGTCCGCCCACACACAGCACCAGCCACGCTGAGTCGGCCCACCACACTGACAAACACACGCATCCACACAGAGTTCACACACAACACCGAACGGGGGAACATTTAGATTCAGCGCAGAGAACCTTCCCCAAAACTTTGCGAGACTTTAAGATGCGGCGAAGCTGGATTCTGCTTGTGTGGGAAGATGTGAAGAGCTGGGATCAAAACCAGACTTGAGACGTGCCTCTAACAGCAGAAAGTCTTCCAAACTTGTTGATTTTGTTGCTTTGAGTAGAAGTTGGAAGTCCTTCCCTACAGGCAACTTGGACAAAATATCTAATCGATATATAGCAGAGCAAATGCTGTTGTACGTAGTAGAAGCTGCGATTCCTTTGACCGTGTACTTGTGCAATTCGACATTCTGGAAATAAACTTTTCGATTAATTTTGGCGCTGGGATGAAGTGGGTTTTTTGTCTAAAACTTGGATTTATTTACAAAACTGCAATGGAAACATTTTTCCGCATCACAAGAGTCACATGATCAAAAACCAGACCTTGCCGCTGGCGCAAACCACAAAGAAGAAGACAGAAAGTAGTTGGAGGATGGTTTTTAATGACGTATGGCTTGAACAAACTTCTTCAAATATGCATTTGTCGCACAACTCATTACTCTAAACATAAACTTAATTTCCATAAACAGAAGATGAAAAAAGCATTTTCATTATCACTTGAACTTTAACTTCAGGTTCAGATAACATTGTTCAGGTACAATGCTATACCTCAGAAATTACAGAACCAAATCATAAATTGGCCTCAGTTGCAATGGTTTCAAAAATGCCAAAGCTACACTGGTTAACAAAAACAGAAAGTGCAACACGTCCAACTTAATTCACATCATCATTTCAGAAAGAGAAGTGATCAAATCCTCAATGTCAGATTTTATGGCATTGGATGTAAGAAGGAATCAGCTCTCATCTCGCCTCTATCATTTGTGCTGGAAAAGTTGCAAAACCAAGATCGATGGTGGAAACTCTAAAAGGACATTTGGAGGTGTTGCCAACATATCGAAATATCAACACAACCAACACCTGGGCAACTGAGAGCCGAGAATGTCAACAAACCACAAAGTGACAGCGCTTCTGAAACCGAAAGGTGATCGCGTTGACATCCACAAATGAAATCCTCACGTACAATACAATGACAAACCTTCGATACTCACTTTCATTACTTCAAAAATTTGTTAGCTAGCAGCTTTTACTACCAGGTACTCTGACTTTCTGCCTCTCTCCATCTCACCTTGAAATTTGAACTGAAAGCAGTTCTCGAAATGACAGAATGCTCTCATTTTCTTCCAGATTTGTGGCAAAAACACAACTTGCAAAACATTTCTTTATTACTGACAAGGTTTTGTGTGTATGCGTGTGTGTGTGTGTGTGTGTGTGTGTGTGTGTGTGTGTGTGTGTGTGTGTGTGTGTGTGTGTGTGTGTGTGGGTGTGTGTGTGTGTGTGTATGGGTGTGTGTGGGGGAATTTCCCTGCGAAATTCCCCCCACACACACCCCACAAATGAGAAATTTCCCTGCGAGAATTTACATATGCACGTACAACGTCATGATAAGATAAAGAACACCTCGGTCTTTGACACATAAAGAAACCTTGTGCTAACGTTTCCGTCTGCATGCTTTTAATTTGACAAGAGTCAAACAGAGGTCTGAAATCCAAGAACTGGATAATGAGAGTCTCTGCAGCTGCTCTTACTTTCACCCGCTAGACAAAAAAAAAAGAAGAAGAAAAAGCAGATGCACCAGTCGTTCTGAAAGTACTCTCCTACTTTTATCAGTTGGCAGCATTTACGTTCTGATGTACTTTGAGTTTTCGTATCTTGTTCTGCGGCAGGTTGTTAAGAAAAGTTGGGGATGTCGCGGTGGAGACGGTTAATGAGTTCCTAACTTCCTCTAGGATGAGTCAGGCCTTTACAGAAACGCTTTATGAGCGTTTTCAGAAGCCCTGTTGTGTTGAACGTTTCTGGTGGAAGAGTTCGAGGACTTGCAATCCAAACCGAGTTTTGCTACAACCGACGAAAGCCACACCGGCAGACACGGACGAATAGGAAACAGATTACAACTTCCACTGGTTCACCAAATTTTCATTTCTACTTCCATCTTATTTTTCCCTTCGTTTATTGATTTTTTGTCTTACGCCACCTCTTTCAAATCTGCACAGAGACAAAACATGGATTAATGAAAACAGAGTAAATATTTGATTGTTTGAGTTTGATTTTTTTTTTCTTTCCCTCAGCTGCCAGCCAGGAAACCTCCGCTGTAAGCTCTGCTAAATTCAAAGCGCAGAAACTGTCTTTTGAAACGTTCGCTCTTTCCTTCTCCCTGCATCAAAAACTTGAAACAGCAAAACACTTTCATGGGGAAGACCCTCATCTTTTGCTTTTGAAACGAAGAATGAGAAATAACCAGAATGCCACCATTGCCGGTGTGAGTACGTTTTTTTTCTTCCTTTTTCTTCTTAATATTTGCCGTCACATGAAGCCGTTCTGCTGACGTCTAATGTATCTGAGGCCCTTTTCAAATGGAGATGGAAATTGTAGCAGAGAAACAGGCCACTTCACATGAAGTGCTGAGTTTGACTTGTGTTGGGAGGTTCGGGAGAAGCAGAAAAGCTGCACTCAAGTGTTTTCTTTCTGTTATCTCTTTCTATGGAAAGCTGGGGCTTTCATCTTTCAGCTCAATTATGCTTCCAGCATTTCACTCACGTTTTTTTTTTTTCTTATGTTTGGTGTTTTGCTTTGGAGTACAAGAGTACAGACAAATAATTGGTCAAAGCAAACCCAGACATGAGCAAAAGCGCTCGTTTAGGTGTTGATCTACTTTGATCAACGAACACAGCCGTCGATACTTAAAGGGGAAGTATTAAGTAAAACTGGCTGTTTTTTAGCTTTACATCATGCAATATGAATATGAAAATAGCATTTTATTGCTATCACAGCTGCTGGTCTTATCGGGTGCGTCCCTGTCGACTTTGAGCCATTGAGAAATAAACATTCTTACTGATTCTTTAAAAAAATTAAAAAAGAAACAGCTCCAGATAAAACAGACATGTTGGATGGAGAACGTCTTTGGACACAAATTTTCCAAGTCTTACTACAGATTTTCAAAGCTCTGCATCAAAGTCAAACAGCACATTGATGGGCAGCTGGTTTCCTTCGAAAAAATGTGCTTACAAACAGGCCAAGAAGTCAGATTTACAAAACAATTTAAAAATCTTAGAATGGTGTTTTATGTATTAGGGACTGTAAATAGAGACAACAAAAAAAGGAGTAGCAAATGTCTGATAAAATAGTGAAAACAAAAAATTATCTTTTTTTTCTAGAAAAAAAAGAGTAATTTTTAAGTTTGAAAAGGTTGCCACATCACCTAATCTGTGCATCCAGTGAG